AATACTTTATTAAATTTTTATTAAATAAATATTTATATTTATTGTAATTTTAGGAAATAACTTAAAAAAAAAAACATACATTTGTCCTACATAAGAACAACCTTTCAGTTGAAATCTTCCTTCATTATATAGCTGATTCTTGAATGTCTGAATTTATTGTGTTCACTTGCTTATCTAAGAGCTATGTAAAAATAGGAGATTAGAATTTATTGAATTGTATTTATATTATTTTATTTCAGACAGTATTAAGTTTTTGAAACCAGTGGGCTAAATCACTGCTAGAAAGGACATACATTTATGTAATTTGACTTTTGACTGAAAACAGTTACTGATATAGATAAAAAAAAAAAATATTCAGTGTGACAACTGGCCCATGCAGTCTCCTTTACTTAAGGCTGTCATCTCAGTTTTCAGCCCATGCACTCTAATACTGTTTAAGATGCTGCAACCTTTATTGTAGCCATTGTCTATATTATACAGGATAGTATACTTGTACTAAAAGGCCCTCAAACTCTTCCTTTACTCCTAAGTGCGTGGGTGAGTCCTTATCTGTGGGTAAGAGCACACACTCTTCTGGGTGAATGGTGATACATGTACATTTCTTAATGAGATACACATGTGTTATAGCTTTGAATAACGTAAACACTCTCTATTACTGTATGTTACCATAGCAACAGAACATAAGTGCAGTGCCCTTTGAACTGAATATCCAGCTCCTCAATGAAAGATCTTCTGATATCTCTGCTCCCTCATGCATTGTGATGTCTTTATTCAGATCTATACATAACTGTTCATCAACACATTTTTTACATGGGTGCTAAAATTATGTGTGGCGTCCATAAATATACAGAACAATACTATGTAATTTTCTTTTCATTCTCTTTATGTGCACGCAAACAGTGGAAATGTTTACATGCCATTGAGGATGCATTAAAAAGGATTTTTAGTGAGATTTTCTTTTTATGCCTTGGGGTGTCCTTCAAATTTTTGTGATTTCACTTGCCATTATAAAGCACTATTTATAGAAAAAATAACAACAGAAAAAAAACATGAAAACAGTAAGATGTAGGAAAATAACAAAGGAAGTGATTACCTGTCATTTCAAAGGCGTTTAATGTGTACTACTCAAAAAGCAGGAGTTATTAACATGCAAATAACATTTTCAAGACCAGCTAGAACTTCAAAGCATTGTACTGATACATTGTAACAACATCAGAGATGCCTCTCAAACAGTGTTGGGGGTAAGGCATTACAAGTAACGCGAGTTACGTAATCAGATTACTTTTTTTAAAGTAACTAGTAAAGTAACGCATTACTTTTTAATTTACAAGAGAATATCTGAGTTACTTTTTCAAATAAGTAACGCAAGTTACTTTTTTTTTCCAATTTATTGATTGACAGCTCTCCTGTCCCCATGTTGAGAGAAATCAGAAGATGTTACTGTAGTTCTAAAATAAATATGAATATTCATTAATTCACCTCACTCACAAAAAAAAACACAGATTCAGTATTCCTCAAAATGAATAAAAATAATGCAACTCAGAATATGACGCAAACCTGCAATAATTAAATGTTAAACAACACAAATATCCTTTATGTATTTATTCCCATTCTATTAACCAACGTCTTTGCTTCTGACCTTCGATGATCCAGTTCAACCATACTAATAAGCAAAAATTACTCTAGACAAACATTTGTGTCTTTTTTTATTGCTGAAGTGTGTTGAAATTTCTTCTTCTGCATTCTACTGTACGGACGTAAATGTACTTTCCCTTCAGCCTGTGGCTTATTCATTTCACTTTTGGTGTGAAAAGGCTTTTATATTTGCCAAAAATATAACTTTTTTATTTTAAAAACAAACAAGCAAGCCCTGTCCAGATTTAAAAAGTAACGCAAAAGAAATGTAACGCATTACTTTCCATAAAAAGTAACTAAGTAACGTAATTAGTTACTTTTTTATGGAGTAACGCAATATTGTAATGCATTACTTTTAAAAGTAACTTTCCCCAACACTGGTCTCAACAGCTGATACATAAAGCTTGAGGTTTTCATGTCTGTTGAGTTACTCTGACTGTTGGTTTGTCAAGGAACTGGTTGTTTGCTTGTCAAACATAACCTGTCATGAGGAGGAATGTGTGTACTGACAATCAATCAATTAATAATAAATAAATATACACTTTGGATCACTTCAAGAACCCTTACATAACTATAAAAATGCTGTACATGGTCACTAAGAGAAATTATTAAAGCTTTTCTTGAACATAGTCTATATTATAACATATTTTTGACACAATGACTCAATTTATTTATATTGACATGCAGACCAAAAGAAATAAATAGACAGAAAAATATATAAATAAAATATTAAATAAAATGATTTTTATTAATGTATTGATTTATTAAATTAATTTGATTAAAAATCATAAAATGGAGCAAAATACCAGGAATGGCACAAGCATCTACTGACACAGATGAAACATGATTACATTACATTAAACTTCATGGTTGTCTAGCTTTTTAATAATTCAGGCTCCAGCCAACTTTTTGATAATGCAAATGCAACATTTTTGTCATGCTAATGAAGCAATAGAAAAATAGCTAAAAACAGAGAATCATTAATTTTGCACAGGCTATTTTATACTGAGTGATAGCTTTTACCTTAGTAAATATATTCTGTTCTGTACCCTCTCTTGCTCCTTCCTGCTCGTCTTGCTCTCTCACATCTTCTTTCTCTTCCTCTCACTCTCATCCCCTCACACAATGACTGCAGAAGCAGATAAGATTCTGTTGCTTTGACTAAAAAGAAGGGAACAATGAACTCTTTGCTTCCCACTGACTGTGATGACATGAAATAGATGAATAAAAGGGGAGAAAGTAAGAGAGAGAAAGTGGTAGTTAAGCAATACTGCTTGCATAACACTACTTACATAGGCAAAGCTAAAAAAAAACACATTCAAACACAAGTCATAACACAGAGTCATAAGAGACATATTTGAATTTCAAAGAATCATTTCAGATAAAAGGGAACAGCTGAGAAGAACCTGTGTACCCGGTGATCAAGTTTGGCACAAATAAGGGAAACAGAATACAGCCCCATAAAGAAATGTGTGTGTATGTCTATGTAATTTATAACACTTCAGCAGCTGCACGAAAGGCCATAAAAGTAAAATCTTAAATCTCAAAACCAAATGTTCATACCAGTGTGTCTGCATTTTCAAATGTCTGCTCTACTGTAGGTGCACACACAATCTCTTTTCCCTCTAGTGTTTGTGACTGGTTTAGAGTTTAAACAAAGCATTAGTCAATCCATGTGGTCTCTCAGAAACCTTAAGCAGACCAAAACACCTTCTAAAATGTCTTGCATATCCCCCAAAAATGGACTTACTCTATGTTCATACTACTCGCTACTCTAAATTCTCCTCCAGTGTTGACTAGATTTCATTTTGGCCTATTTAGTTTGAGGTGAGCTTAATCCTGGAACTATTAACCTCATTGAAAGTAATTAAATGTGTCAATTCATTAACCAATGCAAGTATGAGCTGCATTCTCGGCGCTGCTGCAAGGGGCGCTATAACAGGAATTCGTGCATGTTATAAAATGTGTCTGTGTTGTGACAAATCAGGTCCTCTGAAATTGGGACTCCATAGACCTTAGTCAGAGTAGTACCATATTTAATTTTGGACAGGAATGAAAACCAGGCTGTGAGGGATATAAGTACAGTGCATTCAACAACTTACCATCGTTCAGCTGACAAAACGTCTTTTCCGAAAAAGAAAAACAAATCAGTAGACAAAAACTCCACAAAACAGTTTAAAAGTTGTGAGTTGTGAAAATTACGTGATCTAGGACCTTTATTTGACCTTTATTCCTTACAGCCTTGTTTTCTTCTGTGTTAAATTCAGTATGCATGCTGTCTAACCTGATTAAGGTCTCCAAGTGATCCCATTGGCTCGACCTTTTAATTGGTACTCTCTTAATTTGATTACAATTCCTACATTATCACATTATATGTCATTTGAACTGCAT